TCTCCACCCCCTGTTAGCTCTGGCTGTCCAGCTCTCCTAGCCTAACAAGGCGTTACACCATGATGGGGCCTGTACCCCAGGAGACACTGAGGGGGACGGCTGGAACCTTTGGAGGAAGACCAAGGTCTTACTTACCCACCTGGACTTTTAACATTCACATTCCAGGCCAAGCGGGCTGCTCCTGAGTGGGCCGGGGAGGGGGCCAGGAAGGGAGGTGGTAAAAGAGGCCTTGTGAGCAGAACCCAGGTTTGGAATTCCATGGGGAGCCGGCGTCAAGGAGCGCATTCAGGCCGTGCCTGTGGGCTTGATTGTGCCTGTTCCTGCTCTGGGCCAAGAGTCACCACTAGCAAGGCCTCCCCAAACCTCTGCTCTGCTGGCAGCTTGATGGGCATGGAGGCGCAGACAGGAAAGAGACCTCTGGCCTCCAAGAGCCAAAACCAGCGAGGGACACAGTGGGGTTAGCTCAGTCTAGCGCACTCAGGATGCAGGGGAGCCTTATGGAGGCCCAGGAAGTCCTGGGTGCACACTGTAAGCCTTAGGCTTTGCACAGGATCTTCCTCACCGTCCCCATCTGCCTGGGGGATCAGCACCCATGCGCCCCCTCCTTGGGGACCTTCCTGGTCTCCCCACTCTCCATACCCTCTCCCTAGGAACCCTCCTAGCCTCCCCATTCCCCCTCCTCTGGGAACATTTCCAGTTTCCCAATTTCCTGCACTTCGAGCTGGGGACTTTCCTGATCTCCGCACTCCCCTCCCTACAGGCCCTCCCAGTCTCCGTACTTCCTGTATCCCTCCCTGGGGACCCTCTTAGTCTCCCCCCTCTCTGTACCCCTCTCCCTGGGTATCCTCCCAGTCTCCCCACTTCCTGTGCCCTCTCCCTGGGTACGCTCCCGGTCTCCCCATCCCCCGCTGAGATGCATCCCTTGGGCACGGCTGAGTGCCTCACATTGGCATCATCTGATTCTGTGTCCACCTCCCTCACCAGCCTATGAGCTCTTTGGGACAGACCTCACTCTTCTCTGAACCTCGACGTCCACCGTGTCTTGGTCGGTGCCTGTGACAACCATGGGCACAGTCACTCACTCATTCATTGGACCACCAGGTGCCAGGAAGCACTTGACCTGAGGGCCTGCCAGCCTCCTGGAAACTCCGAGCAAATCTAATCTGCCCAGGAAGCCCCTTCAACAACCACACACCATTTTCCGGAGTGGAACAAGGTGAGACCTTGGCGTGACACGTTTGCCCCAGCTCCAAGAGCACAGAGGGCTCCTGTTTCCTGCAAAGCAACACCACCCTGATCCAAAGGGCCCTGCAACACACAGGCTTGTTTTCCTTCCCTGTCGTTAAAAATGAAGCCAGCTCTGTGAACTCGTCCAAAAAGCCCTGGAGCCCCCAGCTGAGATGGGTGGTCTGCCAGGAAGCCCACACCCCAGCACCGCCACGGATGGAGTGTGGAGATGCCTTCATCCTGCAGAAAAACACATCTGTGTTTGCCACTCGCCCCTGCCAAGCACAGAGGCCTGCCCTGTCTGAAAAGTTACCCAAGGGGCAGTTCATCTGCCATCTCGCTCACGGCCCTGAGAGAACACACTTACATACAGAACAGGAAGGCAGCGGCTTGTAAGCCCTGCCTGGGACTTCCAACACCAGTTGTTGTTGTTAGGTGCTGTCGAGTCGGTTCCGACTCATTGTGACCCTATGTACAACAGAACAAAACACTGCCCGGTCCTGCGCCATCCTTACTGTCATTGTTATGCTTGAGCCCATTATTGGAGCCACTGTGTCAATCCATCTCGTTGAGGGTCTTCCTCTTTTTCCTCTGGGTAAATGGAACATCCTGGCTGGAAGGGACCTCAGACATGACCCTGGGTGACAATACTCTGTTTACGGACAGGGGATTGAGCCCAGAGATTTCTCCAGACAAACACAGCGAGGAGGGGCTGGAGCTGGGGTTTCCATTCTGGTTGTTGATCCTCCATTCTGCCCCCTGTCTAGGATACCACGCTCTGTTTCACTCAACCCTCTGGTCCTTGTCTTTGGTTGTTCTGTTCTGTGCTTGTGGGGCTTGTTCGGCCCCTATTCTGTCTCCCTTGCAGTAAGAGACTCCGGAGACGTGCAGATTCGAGTCCAGAGCTCCACTCCTCTCCTTGTTAGCTGTGGGCCCTGGGTCAGTCTCACATCCCCGAGACCTTCCTTTCCCCTGCCTGGGAAATAGTAATGACACCACCCATTTCTGTGGCTTCTCATGAGGTCATAGCATTGTGACAGCACCTGGGATAGTGGCTCCAGGTATATGAGTGATCCTCAGTGTTGAATTCGGGGGCAGTGGTGGTTCAGTGGTAGAATTCTCACCTTCCACACAGAAGACCCACGTTTGATTCCCGGCCGGTGCACCTCATGCACAGCCACCACCCATCTGTTAGTGGAGGCTTGCGTGTTGCTGTGATGCTGAACAGGTTTCAGCAGAGCTTCCAGACTGTGATGGACTAGGGAGAAAGGCCTGCAGATGTATTTCTGAAAATCAGCTGGTGAAAACCCTATGGCTCACAACAGTCTGATCAGCAACTGATCATGGCGGCGGTGCAGGACCACCGTCATTTCACAGGACTGCAGCAATTCCTTTTGTTGTGCGTGAAGTTGCCATGAATTGACAGCCGCTAAATAGCAATGTTAAATAAGAATCTTCTGCTCTCTATGACCGCACCTTCTCCTTGCTTGTCCCTGGTCTTGTACAGCTGGTATAGTGGCTGCGGATACGCAATGCTTAGTAGAAATAAGCATCTTCCTCTTTGACAGCTCCGTATCTTTGCTGTCCCTGGTCTTGCATAGCAGGAGAGTCCAAACTCATCTCTGACTGCAGGAGCCCTGTTTCTGTCCCCTCCCACACTGTGGGGTGAAGGGGTGGGAGGGGGACAGGGCAGCGTCTCCTCTTGATCCCTGCCCCACAGCTTAGTGACCTCAGGCAAGTCTTGGAGTCTCAGTTCCCATCTGGAAAATGGGATTGTTTTCTGTGCCATCTATCTCATAAAGACATGTGTAGGACTTCATGGAGATGGTGACATCAGCTCAGACCTCCTGGATACTCACTCCATGGTAGTAGGTGCTGTGCTCTGCTCTATCCCTGCAAGGTCTCCTGGAGTCCTCACCACGGCCCTCTGAGCTAGGGATCTTCATCCCCATTTCACATGAAAGGAAAGGGTTACGAAACTCATCCAAGGTCACGGTCAAAAGTGAGTAAGCGCACTTTGCACACAAAGCATCTAAAAGAAGTGTCTGCCCCCGTTCATTGTGGTGCTATTCCAGGTTGTTGTTGTTAAAAACAAACAAACAAACCCATTGCTGTCGAGTCAATTCCAACTCAAAGCAACCCTATAGGGGAGTAGAACTGCCCCATAGGGCTTCCAAGGAGCGGCTGGTGGATTCAAATTGCCGATCTTTCGGTTAATAGCCAAGCTCTTAACCACTGCGTCACCACGGTTTCCATTATTATTGTTAGTTGCCTCTAAATTGGCCCCCGACTCATGGCAACCCCAAGCATAATGGAACAAAACACCGCCCAGTCACGTGCCATCCCCAGGATCGGCTGTGGATCGGATGCTTGTGATCCATATGGTTTTCACTGGCTGATTTTTGGAAGTAGATCACCAGGCCTTTCTTCCTAGTCTGTCTTAGTCTTGAAGCTCCACTGAAATCTGTTCAACATCATGTTGTCATTGCTAGGTGCCATCCAGTCAGTTCCGACTCATAACGACCCCATGCACAACAGAACGAAACCCTGCCCAGTCCTGCGCCATCCTCATAATCGTTGCTATGCTTCAGCCCATTGTTGCAGCCACTGTGTCAACCCATCTTGTTGAGGGTTTTCCTCTTTTTCGCTGACCCTCTACTTTACCAAGCATGGTGTCCTTCTCCAGGGACTGGTCCTACCTAATAACATGTCCAACACACAAACCTCCACTGACAGGCAGATGGTGACTGTACATGAGGGGCACTGGCCAGGAATTGAACCTGGGTCTTCTGCATGGAAGGTGAGAATTCTGCCACAGAACCACCACTTTCCTTTGTTATAGACAAGCAGTGTGCAAACACAGAGTGATTCCTGGGGTAAAATCATCACTCAGTGACATGCTGCATTAGGGAGCACACCTCTTCTGAGTCTGCTCTGTATCGGGCCTCTGCTGGAGCATGACGCAGAATTACTAGGTGGACGCTCACAGCGATCTCATACGAGAGGTGCTAGCTGAGCTCCATCTTCCAGATGAAGACATATAGCCTCCCAGTGAGGGGTTGATGGGCGCTGACCCCAGGCATGGCAACCCTGGGTGGTGCAAAGGCTCAGCTGTTAACTGAAAGGTTGGAGGTTTGAGTCCACTCAGAGGCACCTCAGAAGAAGGGCCTGGCAATCTACTTCTGAAAGGTCACAGCCCTTGAAAACCCTATGGAGCAGTTCTATTCTGCACACGGGGCTGTCGTGAGTCGGAATCAATTCAATTGACGGCAACTGGTTTTACTGGACTCCAGGCTGCCTGACCTCAAGTTCCCATTATAGTTCACCTGAGCTGTGGGGGTGGGGTGGGTCACATCAATTCAGTTCTAGTCACCTCTTGTCCTCTCCTCCGATTCTGCTCCAGGAGATAAACCGCTTTTACAAAATCATCCTTATTATACCTGAGGGCACCTACTGCCCCTGCTAAGCCTCTGCCGAACCCCCCAGCCATCCATCCCTGCCCTCTTCTTGACTGGGGGGGGCGGGCATCGCCTGCTGTCCCTGCCGTCTCCTGCCACAGTCCCCTCGGTGAACAAAAAATGGCCCTGCAAAGAGAGAAACTTCCCCTGAAAGAGAAAGGGGGCCCTGGGCATGAAAGGATCCTCCCCGGCTGCCAGCCAGACCTTGGCTGGGCCCCACAGGGAATGAGGGCGGGAAGCTGGCGGCCTGGGACCACCCCCCGGGCTGCAGCTTAAAGGGGCGGCCACGGGCCGCAGCAAGGCCACCTCTCCACCATGACGCCCTGGCCGCTTTCCCTGCTGCTGCTCCTGGCCGGGCCCCCCGCCACGCAGCCCACACCCCCAACCTGCTACTCCAGGATGCTGAGCCTGAGCCGGGAAATTGCTGGTGCCTACCAGAGCCTGCAGGCCACGGAGTCCTCGGTGAGTCCCCTCCACCAGCCTACTGACCAGGCGGCCCATGCAGCCCCAGTGCTCACCCACTGTGTTCTGCACCGCCCCACCCCCACGCCCCGACCATAAAGAGGTTATTGTTCTTTTCTGTTACGATCAAGGGGAGTTGTGCTTTATTCCCATCCCTCTTAAAGACAATCATAGCGACCTCATGTGACAGACTAGAACTGCCCCATAGGGTTCATAGGGTTTTCTAGGCTGTAATCTTTACGGGAGCAGATCGCCAGGTCTTTCTCCCGTCAAGCCACTGGGTGGGTTCGAACCACCAATCTTTCTGTTAACAGCCAAGCTTTTAACTGTTGTGTCACCACGAGGGTCCCTGCGAGTTGAAAATCGACTCGGTGGCATCCAACAACATTAAAGACAATACCAATGGTTTGCTTTTTTTTTTTTTTTAAATGCAAGGAAAAATAATCACAGAGATCACCATTTTTGGTGGTAACTTCCCAATACATTTCAGACAGAGGACCTGTTGTAAAACATAAAAAAGCTCTCCGTGGAGCCTAGAACTTCAGAGTTAAGAAGGAACAAAGAATTCAGCTTATGGAGCCCCTGGGGGTACAAATGTTTAAGGGGCTCTGCTGCTAACAGAAAGGATGAAGGTTTGAGTCCACCCAGAGGTGACTCAGAAGAAAGGCCTGGCAATCTACTTCCAAAAAATCAGTCATTTAGACCAGACTTACTGGTCTGACAGGGACTGGAGGAATCCCCAACACTATGGCCGCTGGACACCCTGCTAACTCAGAATGGAAACCACCCCTGAAGCCCACTTTTCAGACAAAATTTAGACAGAACTATAGAACAAACAATAACAAACGTGAGGAACGTGTTTTTTAGTTCAATCAAATATACAAGACCAAATGGGCAACTCCTGCCCAAAAGCAAGACGACCAGGCAGGAAGGAACAGGAAAACTGGACTAATGAACACGGAGAACCCAAGGTGGAAAGGGGGAGCATGCTGTCACATTGTGGGGATTGCAACCAATGTCACAAAACATTATGTGTATAAATTTTTGAATGAGAAATTAATTTGAGCTGTAAACTTTCGCCTAAAGCACAATAAAATTTTTAAAAAAGTCAGCCATTGAAAACCTTATGGAGTGCAGTTCTGCTCTGACACACATGGGGGCGCCATGAGTCGGAGTCAGCTCAGCTGGCACTGGTTTTACTGGTTTATTCTCTTCATTAGCTGGAAATTAAAGTGTGTGCTAAGGGAATGACTCACAGCTCTGAGCTCCATCCTCTACCTGCTGTGTAGCCTTGGGCAAATTATCCAGCGTCTGTGTCTGTTTCCCTGTCTGAAAAAGGGGACAGTAATACACTCTCGTTGAGGGGGGTGCTTCAAGGACTAAGGGCGTGAACCCAGTACAGCCTTTAGAGCAGAGCTGGCAGCGTAATGACTCAGTAAATGCTAGCTGCTATTACCACTGATTATCCTAAGAGGCCGACTGAGGGGCTCCAAAAGGGGAAGTCCTGGAGCTCCTATCTGCTCATCCAGTGGAGAAACCAGAAGCTTTAAACTGCGTTACAAATGTTGGCGGAATTCGAAAGTGTCTTCTTACCCCTCGTAAAACGCTTTAAATGAGACCTGAGCGTTTCTCTGATGTTGAGGTTTATACTCCACAATACCCTGACAACTTCTTTTTATTTTCTTTTTAAAGGTTAAATAACGTATTTTTTTCTAATTGAAAACGTGCTATAGTTTGTAGAACTGTTGGAAAATGCAAAAAGACAAAGAAGAAAGTTAACATTACTTGCAATTCTACCACCTAGAGGTAACCGCTGCTATAGCATTTTGGAGGATAGCATTTCAGCTTTTCGTCTATGTATGTTGTATATCCATGTACCTTGCATATACATTGTGTATACTATGTACTTGGTATATACATATATATATGCATGTATGTATACATGCTGGTGGCACAGTGGTTAAGAGCTCAGGCTGCTAACCGAAAGGTTGGCAGTTCGAATCCACCAGTAGCTCCTTGGAAACCCTACGGGGCAGTTCTACTCTGTTCTATAGGGCCACTATGAGTTGGAATGGACTCAATGGCAACGGATTTGGTTTTCTGGTTTTATACACACACACGTATATGTATAAGAGTCCTTGGGTGGCGCTAACAGTTAAGTACTCAAAATGTTTGTGGTTAAAACCCACCCAGAGGCACCTTGGAAGAAAGGCCTGGCGATCTGCTTCCAAAAGTTTCACAGCCTTGAAAACCCTACGGAGCAGTTCTACTCTGCATACATGGGGTCGCCATGCGTCTGAATCGCCTTGACAGCAACTATCAACAACAGACAGATAGGTAGGCAGGTAGGTAGGTAGGTAGGTAGGTAGGTAGATAGACAGATAGACAGACAGAGAGACAGCTACCTAGCTAGCTAGCTAGATTATAGATAGATGAATAATAGATGAATGGATGGATAGATAGATAGCCAGCCAGCCAGACACACACACACACACACACACACACACACACACACACACAC